TTGTGACCGGGTTTATTTTACCCGGCAGAATGTTTCTGACCGAGTGCGGTCGGGTGTTCTGCTGCGGCTGGGGCGCCGACGGTCAGCTCGGCAGCGGCGCCTTCGACAGCCGCTGGCAGGCGCTACCGGCCGGCGGAGACCTCGAGGGAGAGCGGATCGTCAAAGTGGCCTGCTCGGCCGACTGTGTGCTGGCCGTCAGCGGTGAGTGGCGCGGTGCGGATCCGACAAATGGGCGAGGAAGACTGTCGTTGACTGTAATAGCTAGATGAGTGTCATTTTTTTTCCAACGAGCATTCTTTAGCAGGCCTTTTTTAGTAGGCGTTTTGTTTCAAAGCTGCCCCTCTATGAACATATCATTTTTCGCTGTCTCGCACAAATGTGATGTTCTCGACTTCGATGGCTATATGTTACTTCTTTCTTCTTTCGTGTAATGAATGGCCCTGTGGTCCCGTTTTATTACGTTGCGACCCCTCTTCCCACAGAGTCTGGTGACGTGTTCGGCTGGGGTAACTCGGAGTACGCCCAGTTTGCCAGTGTGACCGAGGAACAGCAGCTGAACGTACCCCGGAGGCTGCCGCTCGGTGTTGGACGGGTCACGGATGTGGCCAGTGCGGGCACCATGTGTGCTGTGCTAAACGGTCAGTTGGGGCGCGGAGAGTGTGGAGGGGGGGGGGGGGGGGGGGGGGAGCGGCTGTACTGTCAATTTCAGTAGTATCGGAATCGGACACGTTGCTGACGGAAGGCAAATCATGAGTATTTGGGTTTGATTGTGCATTGCAGTCAGCTGTTGTTGAGTTTTATCAATGGAATGTTGTGGCACAGACTGACTAGTACCCGACACTGCGCCGTATCTTATCAACTGTGATCTGGACTTCGTGGTCGTTTGTCCTTCTTCTTACTTTTATTACATAGGGATTCGAGTGACGCATTACGGCCAAGACGCTCATACTGAAACTGTAGTAACCGGTGTTTGACTTTGCTATCTGCTCCGCTTTCTCGGTATGCTGAAAGACGATAGAGATGTTGATTCACGGATTAGAAAGCCCAAGAACTCAGCGATACTGAGCCACCGAATGGGCGATTTCGAGGATCGAGTTCTCATATTTTTGTCACAACATAGGACACTACATGCGCCCTAACATGTACCGATGAATGTTGAACCGGTTTGTTTTTGTCATCACTTACAGCCTACATCGTGTTTGCAGATCGAGGAGAGGTGTACGTTTGGGGCTATGGAATGCTCGGCAAGGGCCCGGAGCTGGACGTATCAAAGGAGCCCTCTCTGATACCGCCGACGCTGCTGGGACGGAACGACTTCAGCCCCGGTAAGGGACGCGCGGCCCGCCCGGTGCATCAACAGTCGACTGTTCATAGTGATGGGTAATGCTGACTCGACAAATATCTATGCCTGCAATGGTTTGGGGTGGACCTGGATGGGCGCCAATATATATGCCGTGCCGGCGCCCTTGTGTCCTTCCTTCCAAGTGCATCCATTCATTTTTTATGCTCACTTGTTTTTTATCGCCTAACACCTGGTTCTCCCACAGATAACACCCCCGTCTCGGTGGTCTCTGGCCTGTACCACCTATCGGTCACCACCAGTGGCGGTGACCTGTTCACGTGGGGTCACAACCGGCACGGCGCGCTCGGCCTGGGTCACACCGAGGACCGCCTGTTCCCGCTGCGGGTCTCAATCCCCGCCCGGGTCACAAAGGTGGCCTGCGGCGTTGACCACATGGCCGCACTCTGCAGGGAGTACATCTGAACCAGGTACACCGGCGACAATACACAGCTGATCTCTAGTCAACACAGAGTGGTCTGATCTGAAGTCTACGCTGATTGATTGAAGGGTGTCGTGAGATGAGTTACGTGAAAGAGCCAGAAGCACGGAACATATAACCGTAGATGTTCAGATGTCAGTATTGTCGATGGGGTTTGAAGGCGCGCCTCGGCTGGGAAGTTGTTGCAGCGGTTACAAACTGAAGTGGGGCATGTCCCGAACACCGTTGTCGGTCACAACAGACCACTTTTCCCTGAAACGGGAGGTTTGACGTTGACGTCCCTTGGCCATCGCTCGGCTCGTCACATTAAACACTGCTTGGGTGGAACTGGAGGCGTAGCTCGTGGGCTACTTTTAGATAGCATGCTTGAATAATCAGTTTGCGTATCGAATGGACATGTTCAGGAGCATTTGCAGCCTGCGTGAGAACATCCCATCATGGACGGTCTCAGATCAATGGATTGGCCCCGCTATCGGTCGCGAAATTTGAACTAATGTTTTAAAGAAACAATTACACCCACTGGGCCATGATGATGAATACTGAACAGTCAACTACCATGATTACCAAGCTCGACACGACATTGCTAGCACGGCTGCAACTAAGCATCAACCATTGCGGCGGGTCGAGTAAGAATGTCTTATTGATCGCAGCTCACACGCCAAACGATACAAATGAAAAAGATCGTTTCTCTCTGAGCGGACTTGAAAGCGCTATCAGGCAGAACGACAGGCGTGGGCGTGCCAATTTCGCCAATCGTCGAGAAAGAATGCCATCGTTTCCAGACATTACGTAACCACCAACCAGGAATGTAAGCCATTCCGAACCCACATCATTGATAGTCGCGGATAGGCATCACCATCAAAAAGCAAACGTCCACGTTATCACGTAAACCACTCCGTATAGTTTTATTTTTCAATATGGTGCAGACTTACAACACTGAATCGGCAACAGGGCCGTGTCGCCCGGACAGGCCGGCGGGGCGGGCCGGCGGACCGGCCGTACCGCCGCACGGCCAGAGAGTGAGCTGTATTAGAGGTCCGCGCGCGCGCCGCGGCGGGCCACGGCCGCGCGCGGTCACTACAACACCGAATGGATGACAGCACATAAATTTTCCGTATGAAAGACTTAGAAAAACGGTCCAAAAACACAACACACACGGATGTCGTCGCTACAGCGTTATCAACTTAAGCACACACTAAGACCCGAACTATGACCTCACAGAAGACCCCGGGGCGGCTGTCAGGTGCCAATCGCTAGTTTCAACACGCACAGGATCACCACGCATATTAGATATATACGGCCGCAGTGGGCCGGCCGGCTGGCTGGCTGGCTCGCTCTCGCACGGTAAGTAGGCAGGCGAGTGGTGGGGCGACGAGCGCCCGGCGCCGCCGGCGGCTGCGCGGCTCCGAACGGTCGCGACCCTGAGCTCAAATCCAATATCGTATCGTCACGCTACGCATTGATCAAAAATACCCCATATGCATGTTCATATACATTGTTATCCAGAGCGCAGACACACTAATGCAGCGGCGGCGGCAAAAACACACGGGTAATTGACATATATAGGGGTCGGGGCGGTCGGCAAGACGCGCCTATCCAAAACAGAACAAACCGACCCCGTTCAATACAACTGAACAGACAGGCGCGAGCATGAGGCAAAAATCAACGTCTATGTAATGAGAACTCGGCACGTGACAACTTTCGCTAAGAGATATACGAAAAAAATATCAACAACACTCAAGTAATAGTATACGGGACACATGTTTTATACGTCGTCGGCGGGGCGGGCAGCGCGCCGGCCGGCCGGAGCCGGCTGGACGATGGGCCCGCCTACCCTGCTCAGGTACGTGAGGCCGCGGCTCCCGGCCGGCACCCGCGCCCCCATCTCGCTACATTTGGAACACTGCAATACAGTACGTTGCACATTGGCCCACCGGCCGCGCATAGCAAACGGGTGATGACGTTTCAATTGCTACTTTGTACGCATTTTAATTATTCAACACTAACACTGGGAGGCAGACGAACGTAATGCCTCGCAAGATACGCGTCATTTGTACGCTAGGCGTATTAGATGTGAGGGACGATTCGCCCCAGGGTTGGCGTCATTATTTTGGTCGTGTAATATAAGCACCACAATGCACATGTAGGGACATAGCTATACCATAAGCAATTTCAACACCTCAGTACGTCACGAGATTCAAGGCAATCCCACAGTAAGCACGACAAATCAATATTATTTACCACTGAAATGCAAATTCACTAGTGATGGCATACAATTTCAAGAACGACACTGTCGAGATCGAGTCAAAGATTTAACCCGCGAGTTGCTGGGGGGGGGCGTTAAACGCCCCCACTTTTTTCGCCGGGCCATAGCATAAAAACGGCGCGCCGCAGGCGCGCCAAATTTTGGGTACCTGTAGGGAATTGATTGAAGTTTATTGTGACAAAGTTTCAAAAAAATCAGTCGGAAATTTTTTGAGATATCGAGGTTTTAGTGACGTCATGATTTCTGACTTTTCGACCAAAAACGGCATATGTTCAAAAAATCATATAAAATCACAGAATAGGCATACAGACATGCCGTAAACGCCATTAGACTGCCAATACCATGATGAATCAAATGGCTATCTTCGATTATTGATTATCGTTCCGCATTTTCCAAAATATTGAACTGAATCTTGGCGATTTTTCGTGACTACTTCACGACCATGATACATGAATTTTTTAAATTGAACTTTTTGAGCCAAACACGTACATATATGATAAAATGAATGTCACCATCGTGTTCTACGCCCCAAATTACCTATAAAACATGTGTCACAGGCTGCGAATATCAGTTTTGATTTTCGGGGATATGTGCCTACCCGGTTGACCTGTCCTTGACCCTGACCTATGCTTAACTGACCCCTATATGAAGCTGACACTCTTGTAGGCCTTATAAGATGGATTGTGCACCGTTTTGACAGAGTTTATGGCGAGAGGCGCCCATTGCGAAGTCCTGAAGTCCATGCTACTGAAAGCCCGATTTCAGGTGTTTGACCTGACCTTGACCCGACCTGTGACCTCAAAATTCAACTTTTAAGTACTCATCTAAAGCGTCTCGTCGCGCTCTTTCGTTTGCCGCCTCGTGCGTTTCGCTGCGCCTATTGGTTCTCGAGTTATCGGCTGGGGGCGTTTAACGCCCCCCCCCAGCAAACGGTGGGTGGCGAAATACCCCAGCAACTGCCGGGTTAAACAGCTCATTGAGTCGGCACCTGACAGCGCCCCGCCCATCCCCCACAGTGACCCGCACAGAGGACACGAGCCGCAGCAGCGCGGCCGACAACACACCACCGAGGAGAGGGGGCCCGCGCGGCCAGAGGCAGCCGCGCCGCCGCCGGCCGGCCGGGGCCGCGCGGAGCGACGGCGCCGCGCGCGGCCGCCGCTCCTCCGGCCCCGCCCAACGCACAGCGCGGCAAAGACGGACAGACAGTTACAGCAAATTAAAACAGCGGCGTCACCAGCAGTAGCAACAGCGGCAGCAGCGGCAGCAGCACACGCACACCAGGGCGGGGTGCGGGGCGGCGGCCGGCGCCCTCCGGCCGCCCAGTGCTGCCCCGCGCCCCGCGCAGAGAGATAGAGACAAAGGTGGATGAGTGAATAGCGCAGCGAAAAATCATACACCAACAAAACAACTGGTAGACAGCGTATTCAGCGAACGGGGCACATCGGGTATCTGAAACACACGGGCGGGTAGAGATGGGTGTCAGTAAACTCGGCACCCGAACGGACCCTGCTCTAGGTGTGAGGAAAAGGACCGGCAAGAGAACAATGCCCAATCACTGGCACGGGCGGGCGGAGGAATTACACTTCTCTAACAGAAAACACTTCACAAGCAAGTGCTAATTGTAAAGAAAAAAACACGTCTAAGGCCTGATACCCGCATCAACTATGACGTCCCAGACGATAACTCGGAACACGGGATAAAATAAAAGCGATCGACGCTACTGTAATGTTTCACTACTAACCAGTAAAACGCCTTTTGGGCGAAGAACGAGCGAGCGAGATAGTGAGCCCTGCACGTGCAGAAGGGCGAGAGGGTACTTCCAACGGGCTTGTGCAAAGCACCCTTCTAACCGGTCGCTAGCGGTGTACCAAATTTGAACGCAATCGGCCCAGCCGTTCCTGAGATCTGGAAGCGGCATTCTGCACGTGCGCACGTGCAAACGGGGTCCAAAATGACTTTTGCACGGCACCCTACTAACCGGTCCCCAACCGTGTACCAAATTTGAGCGCAATCGGCCCAGCCATTCTTGAGATCTGGAAACGCCCCCTGCACGTGCGCACGTGCAGTAGCACCCTAACTGCAACACATGGGAATCCATTGCCTGGTGGGTGCCTACCTGTATGCCAAGTTTCACCGAAATCGCCCCAGTAATTACCGAGTTACTGAAATGGGAACAAATTTGGCACCTCTTATTGTTGTATTTTGCACGTGCACTGGGGGTGACCCACATGCATCGAGACTATCCTATTTTGGGTAGAAGGGATGCTGCTACCCTACAAAAATTACCGCAAGTCAATCGCCCAAGCGGCTGCTGAGATATGAGCCTCTCAAAATCACTACTTTTGCAAAACAGCTTGAACACCCTTGACTTTTCACGTGGCACGTGCCACGACGGTCACTGAGATGTATCAAAAGTAGTCAATTACGGGGTAGAAGGGATGGGGCTACCCAGCAAAAAAGACCGCAGGCCATTCGGTCCAGCGGTTGCTGAGATATAAGGCTCTCAAAAGCGTTACAGGCCGGGCCGGGCCGGGCCGGGCCGCTCATACTGAGATTTTTCCGTTATATTGAAAAGACTCACTTCGCTCGCTGCGCTCGCTCGCTCGTAACCAAAAAGACCCGTAAAAATGTAGCAAATCACAATGCTACAGAAGCAAGCTGTAAAATCACCTACGCCGTGTAAATTCCCATTTCACCCATTACAACACAAATTGAAGTTAAACACAGCTGCCAGTTCTATCAAAACGGTACATATCAACAAGTGTGTCGATTGCCTCGTGAGGGAGGGTCTCAGGCGCCCTAGCCCCGAGCGTGTGTCACTTACCGACACTACAGACAAGTGACCGTCGGTGAAGACCAGCGCTAGTTGTCGCCGGCGCCCGGGTACGCGCCGTACTGGCCGTACCCGCCGGGCGCGCCGGCGCCGTACGCCCCTGCGAAGCTGTGCTGCTGGGGCTGGTAGCCGGCCGGCGCGCCGCCAGCCACGGAGGCCGCCGGCGCCGCCGCAGACTGCTGCTGCTGGCGGGGGAGCGAGGGAGGCGCCGGGTTAGACACGGTGGTCGATCGGGGCAGCACAGACGTGATGAAACATCAAAGATTGATTGAAAATTAATCCAGCACAAGGCGAAACATTTATCCCTGTCATTCTGAAAGCCACCGGAAGCCAAATGTGTAAGCGAAATTCGTATCCTATAAGATCGGAGACACTCTCGCCGACTTGGTGTAATGTCAGCTTTATCCAATACGCAGTTGTAAGAATGTACTTGGCAATCACGAGCCGTGCCGAAGAAATATCCGTAATTGCTTACAAGCATGTTTATAATTTATGACATTTTTTAGCTATTTAGCTATCCTGAGCTGAAACAAATATCGAAAAATATAGTTGAATTTTGTCATACCAAAATCCCATGAAAATGTCGGTTCTCGGTTATCTATAATTCAATAACAACGAATCTAATCCGTACTTTTCCTCCCTCAACAGAAATCAACAATAACCGGACGATTCGCCACGCCGCCCGAATATAATTACGTAACAATACACCATCACAAAACAAGGAAAACACCGCGCCCCACCGCGCCTCCCCTACGTCATGACACACACCCGATCGGGGTCCGGCCGGTTACCTTTGTCAGTTTGATCTGCTGCTCGAGGTTGGCCGCCTCGGTGACCAGGCCCTGTGATCGGTAGTACTCCACCCACTGGGCGCTGTAGTCGGCCTGGGTGCCGTTGGCGGCTGGCTGGGCGGCGCCGCCGGCCGCCGGAGCGCCGCCCGGGTCGCCGCCGCTGGCCGCCTTCAGCTTGCTCTGCTGCTCGATGGCCTCCGCCTCACGCACCATGCCCATGTTGCGGTAGTACTCGGCCCACTGAGCGCTGTAGTCGGGCTGACCCGGCTGACCGCTCAGATTCGAGCCGGTCGCTGGAGGCACACAGGGGAGGGATGCATGATTAGTCATTGGCAAAAAAGTCATTGACAAACAGTGCATTGCTTAGTGCAAACCTCTCCTCTTATCGTTATCAATCCGGACTATCCGGATCATGAAAAAAATGACTATCAGAACGTCGGCCAACTAGGAACCATTTCCTTTGAACCCCTCTCCATATTCAAACAGATTGATAAAAAAAAACACAATGATGATGATTTGGTGTTTTAGGGCGCACCAGCAACGAGGCTATATGGCGCCCATATCTAACCAATCTTCCTCAAAGTCGGGGGTTAAAAATCACCTGAAGCCCGGAGGCCGTGATGAACGAAAAGAGACGAAAGGAATCGAGAAAAGGGGAGTCGTCGCGGAGAAGTGTTCTCAAAGAGAGCTGGGGGCCACGCAATCCAAAAAACCGCAATCGCTCAGCGTCCAGTCTCGGGCACTCGACCAAGACGTGTCGGACCGAAAGTCGGTCACCACATCTGGTACAAATAGGCCTGGAGCCAACGCCGATAAGGAACCCATGGGTGCCATAAGTGTGCCCGGTACGAAGCCGGCAGAGGACCACCTCCTCGCGTCGCGATCTGCGTGAGGCCGACAACCAGGTAGCTAAACCTGGCTTGATACGTAAAAGTTTGTTACCGTGGGATTGGCTCCAGGCCTCCTGCCACTTTCCGAGGAGGAAAGAGCCCACCGCCGGTACAAAGTCCCTGGCGGGTAGAGGGAATCGGCGGGAGCACGGATACTGCGCAGCATGGTTCGCAGCTCGGTCCGCCCGTTCGTTGCCGTGAATACCGACGTGGCTAGGGATCCAGCAAAAAGACACCGACGTACCCTCTCGGTCGAGGGCTGTCACACGAAGAAGAATCTCCTGTGCGAGGGGGTCAGAAGGATAGAATTGTAACAAGGACTGGAGACCACTCAATGAGTCAGAAAGAATAACATATGACCGAGCGGGATTAATCTCGATAAAACACAGGAGTTTGAGGATAGCGACCAATTCGCAGGAAAAAACGGATGCATGTTTAGGTAAGGTAAAACACCGCACAGCGTCGCCGCAGACGAAAGCACACCCGGCACCGTCATCAGTCTTTGAGCCGTCAGTATAACAGGCTATGTAGTCAGAGTACCTTGAAATATGCTCCAGCGCACGAGCCTTTAAAACAGCTGGAGGGATGTCGCCTTTTCTCACATCGGTGAGGGAAAGGTCCACCTTTGGCGGGACTTGTCTCCACGGTGGGACAGATGGCCACTCCTTACGCATGACCCCCCGAAGTTTAATGTGAGCTTCCGAGAGCAGCGATTGCATACGAGAGCAGAAAGGGGGGTAGCGGACAGTACGTCCACCTTCTCCGGTTCTGAAAAGCGCCAGGTTGGCACGTGAGAAAACTGCATCATAGGCAGGGTGGTAAAAAAAAAAAACACACAAAAAGCTGATGAAAAAACAACAGTCAATCTGAACGGCGAGCCGGGTACATATCCAAAGCAATCCCGCCGTCCGTAAGTATGCAATTCTAATTAATATGTTGTTTGTATGTATGTACTTACCAGGTGAGCTCTGCGGCTGCTGCCTGGGCGCCTGTCCCTCTGCCTGTACTGTACTCACTAGGTGAGTTCTGCGGCTGCTGTCGGGGCGCGGCGCCGGGCGCCTGTCCCTCTGTGTGTACTGTGCCTACTCACCTGGTGAGCTCTGCGGCTGTCAGGGTGCCGCGTTGGGCGCTTGTCCCTCTATGTCTGTATTGTACTCACCTGGTGAGCTCTGCGGCTGCTGTCGGGGCGCAGCGCCGGGCGCCCGCCCCTCTCCGTGTACTGTGTCTAACCCGGTGAGCTCTGCGGCTCTCCCTCTGTGTGTACTGTGCCTACTCACCTGGTGAGCTCTGCGGCTGCTGCCGGGCGCCTGTCACTCTGTACCTGTGCGGTACTTACCTGGTGAGCTCTGCGGCTGCTGTCGGGGCGCGGCGCCGGGCGCCTGCGTGCCCTGGCCGCCGTAGTACTGCGGGTAGTAGCTGTTCCAGCTGTTGTCCTGCTTGGGCGGCTCGTTCTGCTGCTGGCCCCACACGCCCGGCTGGTGGAAGTTGTTGCCCCAGCCCTGCGGCGGGTAGCCACCGGGACCACCCGGTCCGCCCGGGGGACCGCCGGGACCGCCGAACGGTCCGCCAGGACCACCGGGCCCTCCTGGACCTCCTGGTCCGCCAGGACCGTACGGCTGGGGAGGGGACGGCGCATCGGGTCAGTGGGAGGGGGACACCCGGCACGGGACGGAGGTGAATCAACGACGGGAAAGGCTACTCAAGACACTTCACTTCCCGACGGTCAGATAAGGCGACATCGTCCTATCAGAGTCGAGTGGTTCTTGTAAAATGACGGAATGCTAATGATTCAATGAGGCATTATGAGGCCCTCGAAAGATAGTTGGCAACTGAACGAGTACAGCTTCAGAAAAGACTGCGCTTGACACCTCATGAGATGCAGCGTAGTATGAATTCTGAGGATGACAAATATTAGTCGATCAACCAGAAAAGGTAATATTGCGCTTTACTCATGCCAATTCCGTTAACGCCACTTACTTTAGGACTTGACAGGTTAAACACCATTTACAATACCATTATTTAATTTCTATTGGGTTATTTAATTTCGGGCGGGAATGGACAGCCGCCGACAATACGACAGTCGGGCTGTCAGATAGAAACGAGCTGGCAGTGTGCCTGCCGGCCACCGCTGGCACCCGGTCTCAGGCCTCTGCGGACAGGTGTGTGACCCAGGCTGGGCCGAGACACCGGACTCGGCCCTATCACCCCGGCAACAGCTGCTATCCCACCCACAGCCGAGCCACGATAATGTGGGCGCTATAACTCAGCCGCATTTTATCGCTATCTTATCAGAAACGGCAGCTACCACGTATGTGAGAATCAGATTCTCAGGTTGACCACCAAAAACAGGTATATCAATGAAATAGCAGCCCGCCTTCCCACAATCCCCTCCCTGTTCATGGGTACTCACTATGCCGACTTTCTCGCAGATCAGTCGTTTGGCGTGCTCCACCTGGTCAGGACTGCCTTTCACCAGGAATATCTTCTCGTTGGGGTTGGGCGGCGGTCGCCGGTCGAGCTCGCAGTGCGCTCCCGACTGCATGTTGATGGCCTTGATGGTCTCGCCGCCCTTGCCGATCACGATGCCGCACTTGTTGGCCGGCACGGGGAAGCTGATCTCCTGTTTGCCGTCCCTGCCCATGGGGCCGCGGCCGAAGCCGCCGCCGGCTGCGGCGCCACCCCCGCCCCAGTTGCCGTTCCGACCCCCGCCGAAGCCGCCCATCTGTTGGTCGCGCTTCATCACACTCTCGATCAGATCCTGGACGATCACCTTGGCGTGCTCGATCTGGTCGGGCGTGCCACTGACGGTGGCCGTGCGCTCGTTACGGCCCGAGATGTTCTGTTGGAACTGAATGTTGGCACCGGTGTCGTTCTGGATCTTCTTTATCATCTCTCCGCCCTTTCCGATCACCACGCCGACGGCTGCCTGCGGCACGGTGATCTGAAACACGGGGCCGGAGCGCATGGTCAGGTGGGAGGAGGTGAGGTATGTACCGCACGGTGATCTGAAACACGCAGCCACAGCTACGCACGGTGAGCTGGGAGGATGAGAGAAATCAAGGTAGGACACGAGGGGAGGACAGAGGTCTGAGCCGGGCAGACACCATAGAACTAGGAGAAACTGAGGCACCAATCAGGAAGGAGCGATACGGCGAGGGAATGGAAGAGTAGCCAGTCCACTCTAACCAAGTCACGCCGAAGTCAAAGCACTTCGCGTCAAAGCACAATAACGATTATTATTGGGCAGCCGTAACGAATAAGGTATACACTACAGCACCCATATGACAGGGTTAATTGGCAGCATTGAGACAAGTCCGGTACTGAAAAACTGCCAGCATGTCGGGTGACTAAGTCGTTGCATATCAGGAGCTGAATTTGAAAACGCTGGTAAAATACCGATTCGGCCAGCATATTCGGTCAAATTCACGTTAAATTAGGCTGATTTAATTGAGGACAAGTGACGTTCAGTTTGTGTCAGAATAGCGAGGGTCCGGATTCGAGTAAATGTGTGTCACTGGTCGACGTCAGCCGGCGTATATTGCATGACTCGGTTTGCATGACCGAGCATTTCGGAGAGCACCACGTGGCACGGCCCGGGTTCCCACAGCCGACGGGCGCGCAGGGCGCCGCGCACGGAGCTGTCCACCGATACAGAGGCCAGTAGCGGGCAGTACCAAAAGCCGCCGCGCCAGCCAGCGCCCCACTACCACTATCAGCCTAATCTCCCAAACTAGTTTGCTGCAAGCTTACCAGTTTGCAAAACAATGCACGGGACACGGAATGAAGTACATTTCGGGGACCGCCGCCCGGCGAGTCAGCCGTGCCCGTTCACTGACGCCATTCGAGAAATTCCCCGGACGTCATGGGAAAGTGACGTTATCCTACACCATCCGCTATCTGCATACAGGAAAAGATAGCTATCGCGCCGCCTGTACACACAGTCAGGGAACCATTCGCGACGTCCGCTGCCACCGACGGAAACGAGCTCTCAGCAAGTTACGGCCAATGAAGTGTCACAGCATGATACATAAACAATCGTTTTCGAATTAGGCAACATATATTACCACAAACATCAAACAAAATTAAAAGTGTAGAACCTTTTTGGCGGAATTAACCGCAAACAGCGCGGTAAAATGTAAAATAACACTTTGAAATGCAACAGCCGATTGCCGAACGCCAAAAAGGGACACTGATAACCTCGATCAGCCCAGCACGAGCCGGTGAGACCCTACTTACCTATGTCGCAGCGCCGATAACGTGACCGCTGCGCACACCCCGGGGACGTGTCTCCAAGGAGGGGGTCGGCGCCCGGCCACTGCACCCACCTCAGCCGTAGTGCCGCCGCCGAAGCCGCGTCCTCCGAAGCTGCCCATGCGTCCGCCGGGCGGGCAGAAGTTGTCCTTTTCGGCCATCAGCTCCACCACCAGCTGTTTGGCGTGCTGTGGAGGCCAGCGCACACCGGTCACAGACAGCGGCGACCGCGGCGACTGACAGCCGCGCCCACGGCCAATCGCAATAACACGGTGACGAAACTCTGCGACCGGCGCCGCCGAGCGGCCGAGCTGGCAGAGAACGGGCCGCAGAGCGGGCAAACACGGTCCAGACACCGGCGCCGCTACCCGGGGTCAGCGCACGCGCACAACTGCTCCCGATTGATGATGGTGTTGATTTGGGTGTTTAGGGCACTCGGGCTGCGGTGGGCATCGGACCCCATAACATCATATTAGAAAGCGTTGGGTAGGTCAAAGAAAGTCAAAGGAGGGATTTATACACGGCCGGTGTTCAGTGCGTAACAAGCAGGCCGACAGTCGATTTCGCGTGGTTGAGTGTTATTGAGACAGCTGCAAGCGTAAAGCGATCGAATATGCAAACACTTACACGACTCAGTTTCCGTGTTTTCGTATAGTTGGTAAATCTGATGACACTGAGATCGACAGAAAACCCATTGCACCATTGCACGGGTCGGCACTGCAACATAAGCCAATCACTCCTTGTTTACGATATATGTTACGAGCATCCCATCGGAATACCCACTGATGACCATAAACAATACCGAGTGTGCCGCGCCCGGGTCGGGGCCATCCCGCCCCGCAGAGCAGGGGGAGCGGGGCACGCGTGCCTACCTCGATCTGCTTCGGATCGCCGCTGATTCGGAGAGGCTTCTCGGGGGCGTTGGCGTAAATACCGTCTTGTATGACGACCATTTTCGAGCCGCTCTTGTCCTGCAGCTGCTTTATCGTTTCGCCTCCCTTGCCTGTCAACAGACATTGCTTTATAGAAAAGACACAGTGGCAGTTCTTTTAATCCGGAATAACTTCACTGGATAATCAATTACGCGCTTCAGGGAAGCCAAACTAAAAAGGCATCTTCATCTTTTTAGAACGGAAAACGCTGCCACCAACTGCAACAAAATAACTAATGTAGTCATCCATTCCATGTTGCATGCATCCATGAGTCCATGAATCAGAAGACAATTATGTAAGAAGTTTGAATAGCATTTCCTCCAGCGGTGGTGGATAGTAAAATAACACCAACAAAGCCAAACGAGGACCCAGCCGCCGCTGAAACATCTCCAATCCACAGCTCGACAGTCGGTCACTCAGTCACGCGGAGAGCCGTCTCCGGCCTACCACAACGCCGTCGCTACTCACCGATGATGAGTCCGACCTTGGAGCTGGGCACGATCATCTCGTCGGTACTCTGGCCGGGCTGGTCGCCGCTGCCCACCATCATGTCGCCCAGGCCGCCGGCGCCGCCCATCATCCGGTCTCGGTCGCGCTCGTTGGCGCGTGACGCCACGATGGCGTTGATGAGCTCCTTGGCGCGCTCGATGGCGGCGCGCGAGCCGGTCAGGGTGCACAGCCGCTCGTTGCTCATCTCCATGGCCTGCGGAGACATCTGGATCTTGGCGCCGCTCTCGGCCTGCAGCCGCGATATGGACTCGCCGCCGCGGCCGATGATGAGGCCCACCATGCGGTCGGGCACCGTCATGTCCTCAGACTCGACGCCGCCGACGCCGCCGTTGTCGCGCATGGCGGCCAGGCCGGGCCCGGCGCCGAACGGGTCGCCCATCACCGGCGGCCGCTTACCGTCGGGGCCTGCACCACCAGCGGGCGGTCAGTGGCGCCGCATGGGTGTCCCGAGTCAGTGGCTGACTGTTACAACCAGAGAGGTCTCCTCCTATCACGGACTGCATGCTCTGCTGGATTCAGGTAGACGATGGAACTACAGGTTGGAGGTTGATATCTGATAGGAGAGGCCATCTAAGGAAAGGACACGAGTGGGGACCTGAACTTAAAGTTTAAAAATTGAAAATACATAATGGTGACAATTATTTTTTTAAGGCCAACGAGAAGCATTTGGTTTAATGCTTAGAAAATGGAACTAAACATAGCTTATGTACCTCCACTTTACAATTTTGCTATATTATCCTTCTAAATGACTATATATAAACTTATCAATATATTTTAATTTTTATATATAGAAGTGGAGCTTACAGAAACTTTGTCATAGGTATTACGTATCCAATGGAAATTAAGTTTTTGCAACTGCTGACAAGTGATGCAAAAATTTCCTTATTGATCCAACAACCATAAGGCATAAGCATACCAGGTGAAATTAAATATAATAGGTGGAAAACAATAGAGGAGAGCACAGCAACATAAACAGGACAGTCTCAAGATCTACATATTATACTTATTGAATATTAACCATTAACGAAATGATCTGCACATGAAAGGTAAAATTTAGTCATAATTCATTTCATACATGCAGGGAGATAATCAAAGAATTTATTCCTTATTAAAACTCCATTTTCCCAGATGAAGACATGCCATTCAGCAGCACTGCATGATCCATGTTATCATAGAAATGCAAACATCACATAAATTGTGCCATACATACCCATATCCATGTCTGAATTATGGAATCTTTTCTGATTCAGAGGGTCAACTGCAGCAGGATTGACAAGAGCAGCAATCTAGAGAGGAAAATAGAACACAATTAAATTATAATCTACACAGGCACACATAGGTACTGAGTTGTGCTAAAAAAGTGCAGTACACAGTTTTTAACCAAGAAAAAACATAAAGTGGTGTCATATGTTGTCAAGATATAGTTTAGGTACAGATACAGATAAGTTTAAGTAAACTAAAAAGGCCAATCAAAATAGATACAAGCAATGGCACTCATGTCTTTAGAAAAAGCTGTGAAGCAAGCCAGTACCTTCTCACAAAAAGAAGAAAAACAGCAACAATAGAAATTAAGCAGTTAAGAACCTGTCTTTTTATATCTGAATCATGACTGTAGAATGAGGATGCAGAATTAAATTGAGTAATCAAAGAATATGCAATCGTTGGTAACTTTAAACTTCCTGGACATCAATTCAACTATTATTGTGCATTTGAAAACAAATATTGTATATAAATATAAACAAATATATATAAATATACAAAAACAAATATTGTAGTAAATATGAATACAATTTACATCAGCTAAATTGTAGAGGTTAGGCAATAGTTAGCAAATATATGCCTAACATCTCAACTCATAAGATCAACTCTTGTTGGTAGTGTTTAGAAGAATTTAAAATGATCACTTTAGAAAAAAATAAATGTGGTAGCACATTTTTTTTTTCAAAACAAGGATAATGCTGCTTGTAAGGCCACCTTAAATGGGTTGGTAAGAGGCACCCAGCAATGGTTTCTTGCACTCACCTAACATTTTCCTAGATTAACTTATCTTCACAAAATTGTTTTCACCTTCCTTAACAGAACCAGTTGCTGATGCTTGTATATGACAAAGCATTGAAAAATCACACAGTTTAACATGAGAAAATGGTTGGCCTTAAAAATTTAAGTGAAAGCAAGAATACCACATAACTTGGGCTTGAATATCTTTTGCCAAGTACTGTCAATGCAATAAGCTTCGCTTAGCAGGAGGCTCTGTCCTTGTGAACCCTTCCAAGCCAATGGATCATACTTTTTTAAAGGTACCCAGTGATACATTCACAGAGCAAAATATTCTCCCCAGATATCTGCCAATATACAGGGTGTTTCACAATAAACGTTACAAGACCAAAGCTCAATATCTCTGGGCATAATGACTTTATTTCTGCCAAAATTGCACCATATGCACCCAAAACCACAGAGACCAACATCCGTAAGTCCTACTCGAAGTGGCCGCCTCCAGCCTTCACAGCGGCAGCCAACCGTCTCCTGAAGTCACGGACTGCGGCACGCACAACCGCGTCGGGGATCTTCTGCCAGGCGCTGATCAGAGATCGCTTGAGATCGTCGATCTTCTTGTGCGGTTTGGAGCAGGCTTCCTTCTCGAGCACGGACCACATCGTGTAATCCATCGGATTCAGATCTGGGGATGATGGGGGCCACTGGTCCTTGGTGATGAAGGCTGGGCAGTTGTCTTCGCACCACTGTTGGGTGACGCGCGCGGTGTGGCTTGTTGCGCCGTCCTGCTGAAAAGTCCAGCTCTTGTCTCCGTACGTCTTCTTGGCCCACGGCTTCAGCGTCTGCTCAAGGATGGTCTCGATGTAGGTTTCTTTGTTGATTTTTACGCCCTCGGGCACAAAAACCAACGGCGACTTGCCGGCCTGGCTGACGGCCGCCCAGACCATCACGGAAGCGGGTTTCTGAGTCCGGAAGACTCGGCGGTGCTTGTCCGGCACGTTTCGGCTGTCTGTCGCCAGGACGCGGTCGTTCTGGTGGTTGAAACTGGCCTGGATGGAAAGCAGTTTTTCGTCGCTGAAGACAATGTTCCGGAGCCGGCCGTCTTGGAGCTGTTCCAACAGTAGTCGGGCCCTGGCCAGCCTTTTGGTCTTGGTTGCGGTGCTGAGCAGCTGACTGGCTTTCAGCTTGAACGGTTTCATCCTGAGATCGCTCCTCACCAGCCTCCACATCGTTGCGGCAGACATGTCGTGATCTCGGGCCATCTTCCTGATCGATCTTTTCGGATTCCTTCTGATCTTCTCTCGGATCTTCTTGATGATGCCGGGCGTTCTGTGCTGCCGTTTCCTGCCTCTTCCGGGACGATCTTCTGCAGTGCCGGTCTTCTTTACACGGTCTAAAGTCCTCCATATGATCATTCGGTTGAGTCCCAAGCCCTTTCCTGAATCCAAAATTTCACTGGGCGTTTTCCCCATGGAAGACTGATGGAGGATAAAGTCCCTTTTCATCCTGGATTTTGCGGCTTTCATCTTCAGGCGCGGGTGTGGAATTGTGTGGCGGCACGAAGGTACTGGACTCGAATGACCTCTAGACTGCAAGGAGGGTCAAGGTCTGTGCCCCCTGGCGACCGACGGCTGTTGCGGAGTTTCATGCACTAGTGCCCCTGATCCGCATCGCGGCGGGCCGCAGGGGGCACGCGTTAATCCACCCACGCATCCCAGCCGCCAGGTCGGCTCGCCGGCCGGCACGCAAGTCACCTTTCTGACACGAGGTAGGAAATGACGTCATTGCCATTGAAGCCTGTGCGTTGAAGACTTGAAATTCATACAGGAGGTGCGTAAAAGATACCTGTTGACTACACCACGCAGCCATGTACAGCCGTCTTCAAACAGGTCCGCGAGCAACAAGCTTATCACACAGGCTCTAGTCCTGATATTCGAGATAATCGCAGACTCGGGCCTCATTTGGATCAGTCTTTCATCTACTACACCCATTATCTGTCCAAAGGGCATTCAAAATGCAATTAACCAGGACCAGAATTGTGTGCTCTTTCCAATGGTGTATAGTGTTAAAAAAACACCTTTTAGTGCACCAAAATTGAGTGGGAACTCTTGTAACGGTAATTGTGAAACACCCTGTATATACTTTAAAGTTAAAGCACTTTCAATAACACAGGATTTTGAATACACAAGCTTAGAAAAGTGTCATCAGACATTTAAAAATCAAAGCATGGATGTCTGATTTACCACGTTCACTCTTCCAATGCCAAGCCTGCCCTGGAATTACTTATTGTTTAAGCCTGTAATTCAAGCTTTAAAATATAAGTTGAAACATGATGCCAGTTTGGCAAATAATTATTTATAATAAATTATACACAATTTATATCAATATGTTGGTATAAGCAAATGAAACAATGCATTTTACTGACCTGAGATTGACCCTGCATGTCTGCAGAGTCACAAGCAGGCAACCACTCCATTTCTGTATTTGATCTGTGACACCAAACCATGCACTGTCAGTATAAAATAATTGTGGTGACTTAAAAATACGAGATTAGCCCACTTCATGAAAATTATTTGGTTAGGTATAAATGCAACAATTTTATTCTGATCAACTGAAGACCAGATGGTCAAGAAAATGTTAATGCAGTAACAACCCCTTACAGCAAATCATATTTGTGAGAACAGCACATGCTACAAGGTTGTCAGGCACGCGCCATTTACGTCGACGGCACGAACTTTCCTTCAATTTATTTGAGAACGGGCGCCAGTAAGAAGTCAATATAGAGTTCTGAGTATTTTTAAGATAGCATCAAGTTTATAGCATCCCTTTCAAGCCTTGGAAAAGAAGGCGACAAGCATTTGCATCCTCCAAAACGTGCACGACAGCGATCGACCTTTTTATGTCTTCAGCAAAACTTCAGACCTCATTCCTAGAGTACAATGCTGATTGAGAAACAATTAACAATTTACCTGCTATTCTCCCTGCCCAAAAACAACGAAGATAAAGTTCCTATAAAAGTTGCTAAGAGTTCACAGATGTTCTACAGACATAACGCAATGGGCATCCAATGCCGGCCCCACGCACGCGCACAACGCGTCACACCCCTACGGATGTGACGCTTCTTGTGAAAATTAGAGATGGATAAAGACAAATTTCTTATTTCTCTCGGCGTCAGTGCAGAGGAAAATAAATGATATTTTTCAAAATCAAAAACAGGTCTAACGCAAATATTTAAACTTCGATAATCAAAATACTTAAATGTCATTAAATGTGAGAAAAAAACTAAAAATATGCTTGAGTACTATTGGTACTTAGTACTTGGTACCACAATCAAGTATCAACAAAAAGATAGTGAAAGCTGTAACTAAATTATACATTTTTCACTATGTCTAAAGCCTCCCTTACACTCTTTCCGCATTTGACTCTAGACAGCTCTGAAAATACGAATGGAATGCAAAAATATACAAAAAATTACGTTCGTGATATTAACGGTCTTCAACTCATGCCAGCGTGCTTTCACGGCTGCGGCTCACGCAGTATGCACTCGCAGGCTTTCTTGGCCGGGTCCAATGCAGCTAGTGCCAGACACTCCTCAGAAAGCAGACACTTTGTCGCCCTACATAATTTTCAATAAAAGCCTTTCATTCTAAAATGTTTCGTTGCACCTTGATCATTAGTCTGGCTTTGCTGCCGCCCTTATTAGCAAAGGTGAAGGTTTACGGTGAAGGTATTTATAACGGTACAGTAATTTGGTAGCATTTGAAACGAGACATAAATGACGACTCTCTCCGTTTCATTGGCCTCTCAAAAACAACACAAAAATATGAAGGTCGCTTGGTTGGGGATGGGTGTTAGGCCGGCATGTAAAAGTGAAATGACGTGGCTTATAATGTAGAATTGTTGTTTTACCGCACTCAGGCAATTTATATAGAGGGTAAGAAAATCAGGCACCCACTTCACGGTTTCAATATCATCCTTGATTCGCGCTGGGAGTTGATGAAAAACGAATGTGCTTCCACTCCACACCAACACTTCAACTTACTTTTTATTGACGTGCACTGACACATCAATACTCAATGTCGACGTTATTAGTTGATTTCAATTTTGATTTGTGGTAGTTAGCTACCTACCTTCACATTATTTTTTGGCTCAGGATATTTTGTTGTGCGTAATGTGGTCACAGACATAAAGGTCCGGTCCTCTGCAGATATTTGTTAATTTGTTATTTTGATAGGACCATCATGTCTCTGACCCTCAATATGATAACAATTCATCTGTTCCATATCAAATATCAATGGCTGTACACATATGACATAGGCAGAGAGTATGCATGTTGATTGTTGATTACCTAGGTAAGTAGGGTATTAGTAAGCCTGGCGTCCCAGGAAGATGCCAGATTGGGATGACGGAGATATATAGACCAAACAAATCTATCCTGACCTGACCTGACCTTAGCTACAACCTACAAACCTACAACCTACCCTACAAACCTATGAACCTACAACGCATAACAGTATCTGGCATCTTCCTGGGACGCCAGGCTTACTTATACCGGTAAGTAGGTACCTACCTAGGTATAGACACACTATAGGATTGACTGACACATTGGGCTCCATTTTTGTCAGTAGATGGCTACCTTGGTTACTGGTAGGATAACTACAATAGGTGGGGGATTTTAAGGAACTGTGGATGTTTGGGCACTGCAAATCCAATGTGCCAGCATGCCAGTTAGGCTTCGGCCTTTGGACCTGGGCTCAACAGATCTCACAGAGGTTGAGGTTACCTGGCCTGCTTATCAGTTTGTAGGTCATCTTTTAGTGTTCCATTACAAATTTGGACTTCATATTCAGTGTTGCATTTTTTGTTGATTTCCATTCCAGCCTAGAAGGTGTCTAGTGCACTTGCACTGGCAGATTCAGGGGGCATTTGGGGTAAATGTGTTTCTGGGGTGCCCAAAATTGAAGACAATCTTCAATCACCTAGAAAATTAGGGAAATTAAAGAAGTTTTTAACAGAAGTTTGCTGTTAAATCTTGCAGTAGTGTATAAGGAATCAAAATCCAAGTGTGAGCCTTTTGGAGTTATGCCTCCTGCAGCATCCAATGCTTAGGTGCCTTTCCGGATATGCTTATAATCAGGTGTGAATTAATTTTAATTGATTTTTTTTTCTCTGCAACTGCTATTGATGTTTGTGCAGCTGGTCAACACTACTGCCATACCTTACTGCCTTACACTATGGTGTTTGGTCAAAATGTATGTGGTGCACTAGTTAACAGTTTGTTTGGGTCCACAGCTGCCACCATGATGGAGGACCTGGGCACATATCTGTCCCAGGCGGGGCCAAACGGCTGCATGGCCACCTACCAGGAGCCGCTGCCGCCCCACGCCGGGCCCGACTCGCGCTGCATCCTGTGTGACTCGTACATCACGTGCGCTGACGAGCCGCCCACCGGTGTCGACATCAACGGCTTCCGGCTGCCGAGCACGCAGGAGACTCTGGCGGAGAAGCTGGACACGGTGGTGCACCCCGGCTGTGGGGTGTCGCTCCACACAGCGGCCCACCACTGGCAGATGAAGGTACGTGCTAATGCCGGGCGTTACACCCCGCGATGGTTATTCATGGATGTAAGGTGGTTGTGGCAATTGTTTTGCGATTGTATGCTTATGTTACAAATATATCATTTGTAACTATAAAGAATGATTTGCTAGTGTTTGGAAACTGAGAAGTTAATGATCACTTAAAACGTGAATATAATGTTATTTCTTTTTGTTTGATATGATATTCACGGAGATTTGAGGTTAAATCATTGACTGTTCTTGCCTCTTGGTGACATTTTGAGACCTTAATAATGACGGAAGGATTAACTGATCGGGGAGTGCTATAAATCGTGTAAGAGTAATCTCAAATGTATGATAGTAGCATTCTTCCATTTGGTATGTGTCGTTTTGAAGCACCGTCCCGCCGGAACTGTTACTATGTCGCAGGTTAACGTGGTGGTTTTTCGTTTCCAGTACATTTGTATGGCGTGTTCTGCCGTCATCATGACACTGGACTCGTACGAAACAAAGATTCTAGAGATTCGGGAGGAGATCAAGCGAAAGTTTCTCGACATGATGAAAATTCGAGCAGAGAAGTTCGGCGCACTTCAGGTGAGAAAACACGATTCACTCATAAACTCGACTTAGGCTTCTTAGTTGTTACCGTTACAGTTCATCGACACTGATTACTATACATCATGGGCATTTGAAATCTTATCTCCGTCCCCACTCAGGCGTGAGTAACACGTTTTTTGTTACACCGGGCTCACAGCTGTACCAGGTCGAATAACCGGACTTCCCCGTTTATGCCGGCAGCCCCTCCCGCCGCCGCTGCCATCGCCGGCCGAGCGCGTCTCCTCTGTGAAGCGGGAGCCGCGGGAGGAGGCCGGCGCCGCCGCCGCGGTGGTCGCCGCGCCCGCCGGCGCTCCGGACGAGACCAGTGAGGAGCGCCTCGAGTGCGAGGTGGATCTGCACTGCGCCGACCCGCTGCCGGCCGCGCCCAACGGCGTGTCGCCGCCCGGCTCCGAGACTGAGCTCACCTGCGGCGCCTGCAACAAGAGCTTCCGTAACAAGTACAACCTGAAGCGGCACAGCACCGTGCACGCCGGCGTCAAGCCGTTCAGCTGCGAGTTCTGCGGCCGCGCGTTCCGGCTCAAGGACCATCTGAAGACGCACACGCGGTGCGGCCCGGCGGCGGCGCCGCTGCAGTGCGCCCCGTGCGGCCTGACGTTCCCATGCTTCACCCTGTACTCGGAGCACCGGCAGCAGTACCACAGCGAGGGCGGCGACAACCCGTGCCGCCACTGTGAGCTGGTGTTCACGACGGCCACCGAGCTGCGCCGCCACTGCCGCCAGCAGCACCCGCACCCGGTCAAACAGGAGTTCCGCTGCTCCGTCTGCGGCAGGGACTTCCCCAACGGCTTCAACCTGCGGCGCCACCTGCTGATCCACTCTGGTGAGCGGCCGTTCGGCTGCGACCTCTGCGGCAAGCGCTTCACGCAGCCCTCCATCCTGAAGAAGCACACCCGGGTGCACGACAAGAAGCCGCCGGAGCTGAAGGAACTTCTCACATCGATGTAAGCAGCCCGAGAGGGTGGTGTCTCACCTCGATACTCTGGGGGAGTCCCCTTGTGGAAGACGGGTGTCCCGGGGTGTTCCCGGGCGCCGACAGAACGGGCCCGATCGGGGTCAGGGCATCCTCTCCCCCGTGGCCCATCGCATGCTCATTTATCGATGGTAGCTGCTGGTCGAGCTGTCCCTTGATACTTTCCGTTGAAGACTAGTTCAAATCGCTCGCGTCTGTTCAGGTTCTTTGGAGTAAGTGTTTTGATCCTCCTGTTGCTAGAGTGATAGTGTTGGATGTTTGCGGTCAGAAGCTGCTTTAACACCTTTTTAGATGTCTTTTTTTTTGTGTCGCTACCGCATTCATTTACTTGTTTTTGTTTCAAGGGTCGTATTGAGTTTATTCAGTTCAGTTTTGACCATGTTTCATAACAGCATCATTGAAGTATTGTTTGTTAGAGAAAAGAAGTTATCGATGTTATTTTGTCGGATTGTTTTGCTGTGTTACAGCCAGTCTCAGATTCTTTTGTGGTTGTGTCGACTGATAAGACTCCATTTTTGTTGTGCATTTCCAGCTTAGCTGCTGCTTTATATTGTTTCTCGTATTTCAGCTGTTCGTTGTGGGGATGACTGATATTACTGCTGGTCGGTTAGGACATGCCGACCGTATCCTGTGCCAAACTGTCGGGGCATGTTTATCCCGTGCCGAAACTTCCTATGGGTATTGCCGTATTGCACTTCGGATTCACAACTCTTTTCAGCTGACCCCTTATTTCAGTATTACACGAAGAATTATTTGCTAGATGAATCTAGCGAGATGCTATTTGCTAGAAGCTTCCAGTTTACCGTACTCTGCTAAAACGGAATATCCTGAATCTCGAGATGTATAAACCTTCTAAAACAATGTGTTCGTAAATAATGTAAACTACTTTGGGCAGCTCTGTAGTAACAAATAGTCATGGTTGGTTTTACCTGATATCTCACGTTAATTGTGGGTTATGGCGCAATGCCCGACCTTACGAACCGATGCGTCACTGCCATGTCACCTGTTAAACCGCAATACGGAAGAATATCCATTGAAGAGTACCTTTTCTCTCATTCGCTTCCATTGCCCTGTTGTTTCGGCTGCCAGTGTAGAGCAGTTTCGTACGTCTGCCAGTGTAGGACTCTTGGGTATCCATTTCTGCAGCGTTGAGCGTTCGTGGTATGACAGCGTGTTGCGCTCTGAGAGAGCCATTTCATGTTCCCGTCTGGGTGTACCCATCCTCGCTCGATCTAATCTATGGTATGACGGATACTATGTAGCCCGTCGAACGTCATTTTCGTGTAGCGATGCCGACTTCAGCCAGTGGACGTTAACGCTGCGTCTGTGCAGCCCGGCGCCTCCAGTCGACTCGAGCGTTGTGAGCTAAGGCGCGGGCACCTGAGCGGCTGTTCTCTTCCCTCCCCCGCGCGTGGGACCGGACTTCCTGAGCGTGTCCCTCAGAGGACGGCGTGTGTTGGGTCCGTGACTCCGCTCCCACCAGGTGCTGAGTCAGTTCTCTGGCGAAGACGGCACCGGACCACTAGTAACATGGCGCATTAGGGCTCGCGCCTCGTTTCCGTAATAATGTACAATCGACTCTGTCATAGGTGATGTGGTCTATGATATCTGATAGCAACTTCCACTGTTGGTCGCTTTTTAACAATGCGTTTATTTTATAACTTATTTTTTGTTGGATCTGTCCGTGTTAGTTGGTGATGCTGGTGTGTGGAGCTTAGGAATCGTTCTTACGAATTAGCTAGAAAGAATAATATACGACGTTCTGTCAGCATTTCTTTTCATGATCGATACGGATGGCGACGCATCTGAATTGCCTTTGATTTTCCTCTTCACAGGTTGAGGTGTACTAAAACCATTAAATGTCATTCGGCTGTTCATTTCGGTCTGCAGGGATGGTTTACTTTTCGTTATACGCGATATATAAGCGTCGCCCCCCTCCCCCCCCCCCCCCCCCACCCACCCACGTGGGATGGACGTGGGGTTGGATGGACAACGAATGTTTTGTTCCCTTGGGTTTTCATGAATAACTTGGTCGAAAACCCCAGCTTTGCACCAATAATCCTGCTTCCGTAGTTTTAAGCATTTTAACATATCCTTATTTCGTGTTATCGAAGCCTTTGCTTTTGAAACGTCAAACGAGGCGAAGCTGTAAGCTTTGGCATGAAAGTTTTCCACAAATTGTCAGCATGAAAGTTTTCCACAACTTGTCAACTGCAAGGTTTTTATTCTTTGAAAGTTAAACTGATGACACTTATCTAAAACACGAGTTATATTCTGCGAAAGGTTTTTAGAAGATCCACCTCGAATGTTTTTTCCCTTGTCATGTTCTAGAATAAGATCCATGACCACCAGTATAACGCCTTTTGGGGCGACTAACGGAGCGACCGAGAGGGTGAGCCTTGCACGTGCGAAATTTCGACGGGGTACCTCCAGCTGACTTGTGCACGGCACCCTACTAACCGGTCTCTAGCGATGTGCCAAATTTGAGCACAATCGGCCCAGCCGTTCTCGAGATCTGGAAGCGGCACCCTGCACGTGCGCACGTGCAAAATGGGTCCCAACTGACTTGTGCACGGCACCCTACTAACTGCTCCGTAACCGTGTACCAAATTTGAGCGCAATCGGTCCAGCCGTTCTCGAGATCTGGAAACGACCCCTGCACGTGCGCACGTGCAGCAGCACCCCAACTCTGGCACATGGATATGCATTGCCTAGTGGGTGCCTACCTACATGCCAACTCTCAGCGCAATCGGCCCAGTAGTTACCGAGATATTGCAACAATTGCAAAAGTGACACATCTTCGTTTTGCACGTGGCACGTGCATAAGGGGTCACCCACATGCATCGGGAATAGTGCAATACTTGGTAGAAGGAATGAAGCTACCCTACAAAAATTACCGCGTGTAAATCGGTCAAGTGGTTGCTGAGATATAAGCCTCGCAAAAGCGTGACCACGGCCGGCCGGCCGGCCGGCCGCTCATACTCAGAAATTTCCGTTAATCTAAGGAAAGACTACGCTCGCTTCGCTCGCTCCGTAATGAATAAGTCCACGAGCGATGAACTGATCAGTTGAAGACTATGAAAATCGAGAAAACCATACCTTTGGCGGCCCGCCGGCCCCTGGTGACCGGCCCTTTAGCTTGACCCTAAAAGGGCACACGACTCTGCCATTTGTTCGTGCTTTCGAATGCCGCTTACCGCTTGCCAATACGTGGCCCAAAAGCCGAGTTCGATGAGGGTATAAAAACACCCCTTCCGCGCTTGCGTCGATGTTTACTATCGGGTCACCTCAGCATGACCTCAGGGCGCGGGTCAGGATGGGGGGGGGGGGCGTCCCGAGCCCCACAGCTCTCCTCCCATGCTCGGCTATGCTCCTAACGGCTGGCACTATCTTGGACTTGTTCCATGAAGCTGAAATGCTTTTTAGAATCATGACCATTGACCAGCAAGGGCCTTTTTGATGCCGTTTGGTCGAGCTCTGCAATGAAGGCATGCAAATGGCTTCGGTTGTATTATCGGCCCCTGTAGATAAGATGCTGGCATAGCAATGTCTTCTTCAATGAAGTTGACGTGGCTGATGGTTCCGCCCCCTCTTCGAGTCTGGGAGGTTGGGGTTCCCGCACGCCCCCCCCCCCCCCCCCAGTTCCTGTGATCTTTAGTTAGTGACATCCTCGTACTTTGATCCGACGCTTACAAAAGCACGTACTGTCTTAGATACATTTGTCGATCATTCGAACGCCCCATTTTACTTTTGCTCTGACAAGAGCCGAGCATACCTAGTAAGGGAGGCACGCCCTCTTTGCCCCGCCGCAGGATGCTACTTCAGCTGTCAGCACCACCTGACACCGCACTGGCTCGTTGGGACAGACCATCCGCCGGATCCGATGTCATCCATCCGATCCCGTTCCCTTCAACCCCCCCCCCCCCTCCGATGTGTCCTCTCCAGACTCTCATACTACGGTCCCACGCCCCCTCCTCCGCCCCGCCCCGTCCCCAGTCTCGCGGTCGCGCTCGCACTCGGCGGTACACCGTGACGTCACTGCCCACGTGACCGCGTTTGTCGGCGAGCGACAGCAGAAGACAGTCGGCCGCGGAGCGCGCGTGGAAGAGGTGGGTAGGCCGGCGTGGATCGTTCCGGGGTGTGAGGTGTCGCGATGGGGCACTGGTTGGATGTGAAGTGCTGTGTTTGAGTGTTTTGGTGTCGGCGTTATCAAGTGAGGGATAGTGAAGCGAAAACACGGTGGAATTACCCGAGCATGACGCAGAACAATTAGCAACAAAACCGGAGCGAACGAACGAATTGTGTGGACACCAACGACTTGAATAACATGTAACAGCGGCTCAAAAATTATGGACATCACTACTGTGACCCAAATTGAGCAGTGAACACGCCGTGTCTCCTGTGTCGCGTCCTCTGACCCGCGGTGACCGGTGACCGGTCAGCGATGGAGGAGGTGCCGGTACGCCGCCGTCCGCCGCTGGGACGCCGCATCAGCCGCCGGCTGTCTCTGGTGGTTCGTGTGCCCTCCCTGCTGGCCACACGGGCCCTGAGTCGCTCACGGGAGTCCATCAGTGTGCTGCCTGCGCCGGTTGTTACCACCAGAGCGTTCCAGGTCACCGTCCAACTGCCCGGAGGAGCACAACGCACGGTTAGTTATCCGGGGGGGGGGGGGGGGCAGGGGGCATCAGACCCATATCAGACCCGTAACAGGTCAACCTCCCGGGGGGGGGGGGGGCACGGTCAACCTCTGTTGTGGGACAGGGACTTGACGCAACATCAACATAAGAGAGGTGAGACTTGATCAGTCTTTGAGGGGGCGCGGGAAGGGGTTTAGAGTTCTACGCTGGATGGGATACGGCACACGGTCAACTTACTATAGGGGGCAGCGGACCCGCGATACGGTCAACCTCGGAGTCTGAGGAATTTACAAAGGTTACCTAAACACGGAGTGGGACTCCGAAGTTCGGTCAATCTTTGAGGGCCGGCGCTTGAAAGACATTCAACTCCAGAGGGGCGGAATGTGGCGAGTTGTAAGACTCGGTGACGAGTTGTCGGGCATCAAGCGCAATGGTTAGGGAGCAGCGACATTTATCCAAATGTTATATCCCCGTCATTTTTTTGTTTTTTGTTTTTGCGGAGTGGGCAGAGGGGGGGGGGGGAGGGCAAACGGCTCGAACAAGATATGCACTGAACTAATGAGTAATGCCAGTTCACAACACTTTGACTCGCAGCCCTGCTGTTCTCCAACGAACATCGCCATCTTATCGGATAACTATCGGCGATTATAAAGCGCGGGCCGATCAGCGGTAAAAGTAGGTGAACAGCACAGAAAGCGTATCAGAACTGCTAATGCGTCAATCGAGTCTGCAGCCGTACCAACTCGAATCCTGCAAATGCTTGTCGACTTACTCGTGTCAATAGATAGGAGATAACGTTTGAGGACAAAACCACTTTCACAACTGAAAAGTGTTCAGTGACTGCCTCTTGACCCGGCAATCAGAAAGCTTTGAGTCATACATAGGTATGTAGCCATGCATGTGTCTGGTAAACATGCCACAGAGAAATTCCCTAATTCTTGTTGTATATTTTTCATAAAGGTTTTTATGGCTTCTAAAACTCTATGATAAAAGCAATAGCATGGAATTTAGCTTTACGCCGTCGCCACAGGATCTGGCAGTCACTGATCGTTGGATTAACTCCGAATGGTTTCGGCCTTTGGTCCCGGGCGGACTGTTTCCGGGGATGCTCCACCCACTCACTCACTCACTCACTCACTCACTCATTCCCGACCCGCGATATGTTACACAACTATAATCTGCTCGGCGCTGAGCGCTCGACAAAGTGAAACGTCCCGGAGACTGATGTGACTGCGCCGGCGAGGAGAAAGGTGTAGCTTATAACATGGACATTGGACATCTCCGTATCGATACAGAGGGACGTGTTAATCGTTTAATTGTTTTTTGAATGACCTCCTTACAAAATTATACTTTTCATTCATGTATTTTTGTTTTAGATGAATTTTCGGCCACGGGCCATGATCACATCAATGCCAAATATAAGAATTCTTATATTCTTATATTTGGCATAAAAGAATAAAAGAATTCTTATATTTGGCATTGATGTGATCATGGCCCGTGGCCGAAAATTCATCTAAAACAAAAATACATGAATGAAAAGTATAATTTTGTAAGGAGATCATTCAAAAAACCATTAAACGATTAAAATAAATGTCTTACATTCAGCAAGCACTTAACGAATTAGAGGGACGTGTTCTAAAAATGAGACAAAGATAAACCTCTGAGACCACTCAGGTCTCAGACTGAGTGTTATGTATCCGTATAACAATTATAGCAACTTTATAAAAATTATATTACAGTTACATCCTCCCTCCTAAATTATTGTTAATTTTTTTATCATCGCGGAAGTATGGGAAGCAAAGTACAATCGTTCTGAGGATGATTTCTGAAAACTTCTGTAAAGCAAGAAAAATAATTGATTCCTATTTCTGGAAACGTATCCGATCGTTTGAACATTGAATATGAAATTGTCATTACTTGTTCCTGCTAGAACGGACTGCCTGGATTAGGTATTATGTTCAGGTCTCGCGAGATTAAGCGGTAGGTTTTGCACTTTTACATTTCCGGTTATATCTCAGAAACTAATCGATCTACGATGAAGCCATTTTACACGATCATGGCCGGCTTGTTTCCCAACAAGTCGATCGCATCTTCAACACTAAAGCTCAAGACGACGAAGATATAGCCTGAAGTACACTAAATTTTCTAGATGCAAAACCTACCGCTAAAACCCGCGAGACCTGTACATACGCACAATATTTTACCTATACGAACCTATCGGAAGACGCTTACATACCTTTCGTTGCTTCCCGTATAGGTATTGTCACCTGTCTTGTCTATGAGTAGTCACGCCTTTTAAATCTTCTATATCTTTTATGTGTTTAAATAAATTAATCATCATGACTTATAATGTGTATTTCCCGGCTGGCCTGGTTTCCAACTTATTTCCCGTCGTCACTTACGTTTCACATGCATAATTAGCCGGAAAATAAAGACGGTGAAACTTCATCAACTTTGTCTTGCTGTGTTATCACGGCTATAAAAATATCGTTTAGTATAATTCATATTTCAACAACCGTATTCCCATGTTTATTTCCCTGAACATCTGCTGAACTAACCTGCACGCGCTGTCCGTAATGCAGCGTCATGATGCGTTATTTAATTCATCAACCGGTTCAATGTCGATAAACGTTTAATCAAGTCTTTATCAATGAGTGCCGGCTGCTATCGATTACGGTAATTCGACACGATAGCTTTCTGACACGTTGCCGCTAGGTTATTGGCGGTCTCGCTCATATCCGTGGATAGAGGCTGCAGCCTCTATCCACGGCTTCCAGCTCATACCTGTCCGCTGTTACGAACGCGGGGTGGGTGGCCTTGGTCACTAAAATACTGGGGGAGGGGGGGGGGGACTGCGTGGGAAGCGATCTTAATAAGGTTATGGTGAAGGTACAGGTTGTAATATAACGGGAAACGATTTTTTTACTAAAAGATAATGAGCCTTGTACTTTAAGAAATGGATCCGTGTGCTTCCTCAGTGGCTTACCAATATGCAGAAAAGGCGTCTGGAACAGAAGCGAAATTCACTGCTCTTCGTCGTTGCAGTGAAAAGAGTTCCATCACGCGGGCGACTATGCAGAAAAACGTCTCGCCGCTTCTTATCCGTCACAGTTGACGACAGCCGGACGCTGCACTGTATTTGCGTTTCATTTCCTGCGTCTCGTATCTCATTTGAGCCGTATTTGCGCTAGACACAGCGGGATGGGGAGGGGCTGTCCGCGGTGCCTCGGACCCACACCTCCGAAAACAGCCATCCGTCAGCCGGTGCCCGCGTCAGTCAGAAGATTGGCCGCACCACATCTGTCTCAGCGGCGCCACGACTGTTATCCCAGCCGGCGCCGGCGACGTGCGTATCGCGTGCGGTGCTCCGAGACAGAGCTGTCTCTCTCTCTCTCTCTCTCTCTCTCTCTCTCTCTCTCTCTCTCTCTCTCTCTCTCTCTCTCTCTCTCTCTCTCTCTCTCTCTCTCTCTCTCTCTCTCTCTCTCTCTCTCTCTCTCTCTCTCTCTCTCTCTCTCTCTCTCTCTCTCTCTGTCTCTCTCTCTCTGTCTCTCTCTCTGTCTCTGTCTCTGTCTCTGTCTCTGTCTCTGTCTCTGTCTCTGTCTCTGTCTCTGTCTCTGTCTCTGTCTCTGTCTCTGTCTCTGTCTCTGTCTCTGTCTCTGTCTCTGTCTCTGTCTCTGTCTCTGTCTCTGTCTCTGTCTCTCTGTCTCTGTCTCTCTCTCTGTCTCTCTCTCTCTGTCTCTCTCTCTCTCTCTCTCTCTCTCTCTCTCTCTCTCTCTCTCTCTCTCTCTCTCTCTCTCTCTCTCTCTCTCTCTCTCTCTCTCTCTCTCATGTCTGGCTCTGTTTCTGTCTGTTTCTATCCGTTTTCCCATATTTCTCCCTCTTTCTCTCTCTCTCATTTTCTTCCCCTCCTCTCTCCTCTCTTTCCTCTCCAATTCATGAAACGTTGTGGGTAAAAATATGTCACCTTTAGGCCTAAAACTCAGATTCCCTCCTATTCCTCTGGATACGTATTCCTGTTTTCTTTATTATTTTGCACACTGTGATGTCTCCGACCTACATCTGCTCACTTTAGTTACATACCAACACGGCGCGAATTTACCGCGCTCCACACTCCGAATTCACTGCGCTTCTCAGTCCGATTGTTGGTCGGTGACTGGAGTGCTCCCGTTGTCCCATCTGCCGCTCGTGCAGCTGTTCCTCGTGTTCTGTTCTGTCTCCGCAGCCGTGCTGCTGTTACCTCTCCAGTCCGACATTCCCCGTAAGTCGGCCGGCGAGTAACCGTTCCGCGGATAGGTATGTGACGAGGAGTGTGGCATGATTGTCGCTAGGTGATTGGCAAGCATGAAGCATCTGGGTAATTGTAATTTTTGTTTATTGTTTAAGTCATGCACACATTTGTGATGTTTTTTAGTAAAGGAATGTTGTTACCGAACTCCGAATTATTTCGGGATTATATTTTATCAGTCTATGCGTAAAGATCAATTTCACTTTCTCAGTTCCACTTCCGCCGAGCTGAAACACCTGATCACTGATTAATGACCACTAGTTGGAGCCGATCGCTTTTCGCACTGTGTTAGCTCACCTGATTAACTATACGCCGCTACGCCCAGCTCATGATTAACAACCACTGATCTGAAATAAATGAAATCGTGATTAGCAGCGTATCGGCTCGATGTGGCCGGCAAATTATACGCCGCCTTTCTAATCATCTCGCACGTTAATTACTCCGAGAAAATCCACCTTTTTGACGCCTACGCTGGCCGTTCTTTCGCAAACCGAGTCTCCGTCCAGCGACGGATTTCGTCGGTGTCGTGAAAAGATTGGGAGAGGCAGACGCCGCGACAGGGACCTCGATTTTCACTGGTTCTGAACCATTATTTTGACTTTGGCTCACGAACACATATGGTCAAAGTTTATTGGGATGCACCGTATCGTCCAACCCGGGAACGTCTCGCTGCAGGACCGTACCGCCCCAACACATATCGCTCGATGTGACCTGCTGTCGATTGAA